GGGTGCTGTGTGTATCTGGGGGTAATGTGTGTGTCTGGGGGTGCTGTGTGTGTCTGGGTGCTGTGTGTGTCTGGGGGGGGGCTGTGTGTGTCTGGGGGGGCTGTTAGGGAAATTATTTGAAATATATATTTTTTATTTTATTAATAATTATAATATTATAATTAATAATTAAAAAAAAAAAAGTTATGTCCCCCTCCCTTCTTACCTTTAGCCTGGGAGGGGGAGGGAGCCGTTCTGCCTGGGATGGGGAGCCTTGAGGGGGGACCATGCTGCCTTCCCTGGTGGTCCAGTGGTGAGAGTGAACTCTAACCTGCAGGTTAGAGTTCACTCTCGCGAGATTGAGCGTTGCCGCGGCAACGCTCAGAATCTCGCGAGAGGACCGGCGGAGCTGCTTGTTAGAGCTCCGCCGGGTCCTCTCTCCTCCCTCCCTCACCCAGCCGGCGGCCGCATTTCCCTGCCTCTGGGACGGTGAGGGAGATCTGTGATCTCCCTGCCGGCCTCGGCCCCACGGCCATCGCGGCCCACCGGGCATTTGCCCGGTATGCCCGATGGCCAGTCCGGGCCTGGACCTGGCGCAATGTCTAAATATATCCCACATCGTAAGTGACATTTCCTCTGCTTCCTTCAGAGACCGATTCTGGGCTGACAATCGATATAACTTGTTTATTAAAGCTTAAATGGGAACTATAGTGAAATGTTAAAGGAACAGTCCAGAAACTCAAAATACAGCCCACTTTTTTTATTGTTTGCAAAACTAATGTTGCCATTGAATGTAGGGAAAACACAGCATAAACAATTTATTAGTTTCACTTAAAGCATCACTGTGGGTACAATAACAATTTCCTCTCAATTATATCATCATGGTGTCTGGAGGTCCTGGGAGCCATCTTAGCTAATTGGGTTAAACCATTTTGGCTAGTTTAAACCTAGTGCTGTTTACGGCGCCCATTCTCCTGGTCTCTCTGCCTAACTCCTCTTCCAGCGTTGGCTTCAGTTCAGTGGTTTGCAGTTTTCTTCAGATTAACTCCAGCCCTTGAGTCACACATCCCCTTTTTGGAAGGTTAACAGATAAGCTCAGCCAGTGAGAGGTCAGCGTGAGCCCATCACTGTCCCCTTATTATCTAAGTAGTATGTCAGAACTGTACAAAGGGGGCATGTAATTGAAGGTCCGTGATTGGCTCACAATAATCTATCATTGGCTGAGTATGCACCCTGAGTACGTTCAATCAGGAAAACATTTTGTGAAAAGGGGAGGCATAGCTAAGGGGGTGGAGTTACACTTCAGAAAACAGCAAAACTTATTTTTAGATTTTTTTTTGATTCTATATTAATGTGTACATTTTAATTTTAGTTATTTGTTGTCATCCATAGCCATTTTATGTAAAATTATTGGGGGTTTTATTTCACCATCCAGTTCCCTGTTGTCAGTGAGTGAGGGTTAATGTCCTCTACTGAGCAGTACATGCAAAGCTGCTGCCACTGACAAAGCAGTGAGACCGACTGCAGATCGCGGACATACTTCCTATTTAACACTGCATCTTCTTTTGCTATGATTTTCTGTTCGTTGTATGCTTTGCTTCATATGTTTATGCTTGTATGAACAAAGCTTTCAATCAAAGACAAACAAACTCCATGAACACAGGGAGGGCGGGAGCCGTACCACCAATGGGAGGCGGGAGCCGTGCCACCAATGGTTGTCTGTTGCCAGCATGCTATGCAGATGATAGGTGCCAACTATGCACAGATTTCACATCCGTTAGAACAGAACTCCTTTCCCAGGCTTGCTGCTCTTTAGTAATTAATTCACCCAGTCCCCATGGACTACATCCTGGATATAGTTACTATGGACCTAAAAGTATCCCGTTGCCCTGACTTTTCCAAACTCTCTGGATACTTATTTACTGCAGGCAGCCAGTAAGCCCTGTGAGTGCCAACATTTATTTCAAAAAAATACTAATCCCTTTATAATAGTTTCGGATATAAAACTGTCAGGCAGAACGCTGTGGTCCTTGGTAGGACATGAAAGGCTCCATTAATCAAAGAAATAGGGATCTTTGGTATGTGAACCAATATTCCCAGCCAGAATGTACTCATTTTTCACAAGATAAAATCAAGATAAACAGTTAGTAATGAAATGGTACAGAATGTTTCAAAACCCAAAATATTAAAATCAAAAATCAGTTTGCAAGCTGGTATATTCAGAAAAAAGAAACATTAAATAATTAAAAGATAATAACAATGTAAAATATATAATGGTAAATATACAATGTGTTTTCATGCTCAGTCATCTAACTAAAGTCCGTCTAGTCCAACCATAAAACCCATTCTTTAATGCTGTTTATCCAAAAGTAGCAAAAAGATTATTGTAGCCATTTCCTATTATGCCAGAAAAAACAATTGCTTCTTGACTCCATAATGGAAACCAGATTTCTCATTGGACTAACAACTTGTTTACAAACATATCAATGATATCCTTCTATTTATGCAAAAAAGCATCACCTTTTTTATAATTACTCTTTAATCTGATAACATAACAACAATATAACATCTTTATTGTTCTTACTGTAGAGAACCCTTTCATCTGGTGTAAGTGAAATCTCCTTTCTTCCAGTCTCAATGGGCGACCTCTTGTCCGTTGTATATTCCTGGTAATGAACAGGTTAGCACATAGCGGTTTGTACTGACCCTGTATATATTTGTATAGTGCTATCATATCCTCCCTGGAGTGACTTTTTTCCAAAGACAACAATTCCAGTTTTTCAAGATCTAGCCTTTCCTCGTAACTAATGTTTTTAATCCCCCGTACTAGCATTGTAGCTCTGCACTTTTTCTAGTTCTGTGATATCCTTGTTTAAAACCGGTGCCCAATATTGCATTTCATATTCAAGGTGGGGTCTTACCAGTGATCTGTAAAAAAAAAAAAAAAAAGCAAAATTCTTTTTGGATCATGTGAATCAAAACCCCTTTTTTTTATACATGAAAACACCTTATTCGCATTTGCAGCAGCAGACCAGCATTGCATTCAGTGGCGGATCCAGGATCCCCGAGATTGAAGTGCAGCTCGATGACAGGGCTTTCTATGGTCCTGCTTTGCTGCTGCCCTTCGATCTACAGCCCTTGTATATCGGCAGCACCAGTCTCCGCCCACTTGCGACAGGATCCGCCCCCTGCTTAGGCCCCACCCCCGCCCAGATCCTTACCACAGCGGCTGTTGGAAGGAACTGTCTGCACAGCAGCACATCTCCCACCGGACCAACAGGGAACAGGATTCCTCCTCCCTGACCCAAGGTAAGCCTCGGAGGGGGGAATACACTATTGTTTTTTCTTCAGCCCCCTATGTGCAGCCCCTATGTCCTAATACACCCCTTACCATCCACTAGAGCCCTTACTAAATCCCCTTACTCCTTACTACACGCCTAACCCCCACTACAGCCACTAACACCCCTACTAAATCCCCTTACTCCTTACTACACCCTTAACCCCCACTACAGCCCCTAACACCCCTACTAAATCCCCTTACTCCTTACTACACCCTTAACCCCCACTACAGCCCCTAACACCCCTACTAAATCCACTTACTCCTTACTACACCCTTAACCCCCACTACAGCCCCTAACACCCCTACTAAATCCACTTACTCCTTACTACACGCCTAACCCCCACTACAGCCCCTAACACCCCTACTAAATCCCATTACTACACTTAACCCCCACTACAGCCCCTAACACCCCTACTAAATCCACTTACTCCTTCCTACACCCCTAACCCCCACTACAGCCCCTAACACCCCTACTAAATCCCCTTACTCGTTCCTACACCCCTAACCTCCACTACAGCCCCTAACACCCCTACTAAATCCCCTTACTCCTTCCTACACTCCTAACCCCCACTACAGCCCCAACACTTACTCCTTACTACACCCCTAACACCCCTTCTAATGCCCCCTTATACCCCCTTCTAAAGACCCTTACTCCTTCCTACACCCCTAACCCTCACTATAGCCCCTAACACCCCTTATAATGCCCCTTACTACACTGCTAACCCCCACTACAGCCCCTAACACCCCCTTCTAATGCCCCTTACTGCTTACTACAACCCTAACTTCCCCACTAAAGCCCCTAGCACCCCTTCTTATACCCCTTCTAAAGACCCTTACTCCTTCCTACACCCCTAACCCTCACTATAGCCCCTAACACCCCTTCTAATGCCCCTTACTACAACCCTAACCCCCACTACAGCCTGCTAGGTTTAACCCATTTTGCAGTAAACATAGCAGTTTCAGAGAAAGTGCTATGTTTACAAATGGGTTAATCCAGCCTCTAGTGGCTGTCTCACCCTAGTCGTAGTCCGCTAATCTATTGTCAAATTTTTCCAGAACATATATTCGCGGGATACCATGAACTATTGGACTGGTCAATGTTCCTGGGAATTCCCCCGAACGTAGACCTGCTTTCTAGGACATGCTTGCTACCATTTTTCCCCGAAGTAAGAGATCCCCAGAAAATAAATCCTAGTGTGTTTTTCAGGGGATAAATGAATATAAGACCCGGTGTTATTTTCAGGGGAAATGCAGTATGTTAAAATGGTAATTGTGAGTGGCTGGTGAGCTGGTGTCTGACATGTGCCAGTAGGTGGCGCTGTGAATGTACACACAGTAATGGTCCTGTGACGCTGGCTGGGGCTGCTGCCTGTATTGTGTGATATTTCTAATATCCTGGAATAGCAGTCATAGGGATTATTTACTTAACAGCGTGTTAACAAACTACGTATAGTCATTTTGGAAAAAAATCTCAACTTCTCCAGTTAAACTGTTTTGGCCTAAATTGTATAATTCCCTTGTAAGGTCCCAGTTTAGCAAATAACCTGCGTGATTGATGGGAGTCAGAGTCCACGTAACGTTAAGTGCAGGTCTCCCCAGAACTGACACTGAGAGTGACTTTGTCGTAACCCTAGCTGTCTCGTAATGCTAACCCAGCACCGAGAACACTGACCGAGCTCGCTAAATAGGCTTCATGATTATTAATATATCACCGAGGGATTCTGCTGATACAAACATTTTATTTGGAAGATTTGTTCTCACATAGTGTTTCATGGAAATTCAGTAATAAAAAAACAGATTATTCACTTTTAATGTTTTCATTTATTACTGTCACTTCCTTGTATGTAGAGAGAGACTGATAGAGACATGCTGTGATAGAGACGGAGAGTGCTAGTGATAGGCGGTGAGAGACATGCTGTGATAGAGACTGTGAATGCTAGAGATAGGCGGTGAGTGACATGCTGTGATAGAGACAGAGCGTGCTAGAGCTAGGCGGTTAGAGACATGCTGTGATAGAAACAGAGAGTGCTAGAGAAAGGTGGTGAGTGACATGCTGTGATAGAGACAGAGCGTGCTAGAGATAGGCGGTTAGAGACATGCTGTGATAGAGACAGAGAATGCTAGAGAGGCGGTTAGAGACATGCTGTGATAGAGACAGAGAATGCTAGAGAGGCGGTTAGAGACATGCTGTGATAGAGACAGAGCGTGCTAGAGATAGGCGGTTAGAGACATGCTGTGATAGAGACAGAATGCTAGAGAGGCGGTGAGAGACATGCTGTGATAGAGACAGAGAGTGCTAGAGATAGGTGGTGAGAGACATGCTGTGATAGAGATAGGTGGTGCGAGACATGTTGTGATAGAGACAGAGCGTGCTAGAGATAGGCGGTGAGTGACATGCTGTGATAGAGACAGAGCGTGCTAGAGATAGGCGGTGAGTGACATGCTGTGATAGAGACAGAGAGTGCTAGAGATAGGCGGTGAGTGACATGCTGTGATAGAGACAGAGAGTGCTAGAGATAGGCGGTGAGTGACATGCTGTGATCGAGACAGAGACATTGTGATA